TTGAACAAGGCCATATGATGATACATACGTTGTACTCAAAACGCAAAATTCAATCAGAAGTAGACAAAGTACTCTCATTACTCTTCGATTCCCCCCAAAAATTTGAACCTTATCTTACTGATCAGTAAGAAATGATAAAATTGAGTGACTTCAAGATTTGTTCATACTTGAGGTTTGGGATAATGATTTTGTTTTTGGGGGATCTCCAGTTGATACCGAAAGTAAGATAGTACCTACAGAGCAAAAAAGGTCTCATCCAGATCCCGGTGCGATGGGGCAGTGAAGCATTTGAAATCAAAGCTTGAAGCTTGAAGCTCAAAGCTCATCGAACTCGAACTTGATGTCGATGTTCAAAGTTCGAATTCTCAAAGAAGCGCAAGTAGATACAAGTTGAAATTCAACATCAAACTTATATATCTTACATCCATCATCCCGTGGATGGAATGCTCTCCTGTCATTCATTTGGGCAGATCTGCACCAATCCGTGTCATCGCTCAAGGGCATAAAATTATATCCTTTGGACACATTACATCCAGGAACTTGATTTTGAGACTTCGAAAGGAACAAAGATAGAAGTATACGGGCCGCCAAAGTTTTTTGTCAAAGCAAGTAAATAGAAGGAGAAATACAATTTGTAATTTTTGTAAGCAACATTTTTTGTCAAAGCAAGTAAATAGAAAGAAAGATAGAATTTACTATTTTTGAAAGCAATATTTTTTGTCAAAGCAAGTAAATAGAAAGACAAATACAATTTGTAATTTTTGTAAGCAACATTTTTCGTCGAAGCAAGTAAATAGAAAGAAAAATAGAATTTATTATTTTTGTAAGCAATATTTTTTGTCAAAGCAAGTAAATAGAAAGAAAAACATTAATTTATAATTTTTGTAAAGGCTTGACAGCCTCATTTACCGTTTCCTTATATACTTTCCACTTATCTTGTATTGATTTACGCATAGCAATGAAATTATTAAAGTTATTACCGGCTGGTATCAAAGCAGCAATTTCCAACATTTTGCTCGCCATGAATTTCTCCATATCTTTTGCTACCTTCTTCATCTGCTCCGCCACCATGTTACCATCAAAATTGTTGGGCTCGACTACACCCCAGTCTACAGAGCTATCATCTGAATCCATCTCATCGCCCCGATCTTTCTGAGCATTTTCGGGCTGCTGGTTTCCGCCGTGTGAAAATTCGGGTGCAAGAGAAAATTGGCGCTCTAATTCATTTCCAGGAGCTCCTACTGCCTTGTTCAATCTCGTATGATGATTTCCGGCTTGTCCATGTTTTCCAGTGGGTCTCACAGCTTCATCTGGATTGACTTGTCCATCGCCTCTTCTCTGATCATCACCTGGATATTGGAGTTGTTCGTTGGTTCGTCTCTTGCTTTCCAATGTTGAAGAAAGTTGAGATAAAGGATTTTTTGAGGTGTCTGGCGAAGTAGGGGGTGGAGAACTTTCAAGAATTACAGGGCTTTGACGGGAGTGCGGAGGCTGAGAAGAAGCATTTTTATTCGATCCTACGTTCGAGGGTGTAGGAGTAGCATGTGAAGCGCGGCGACTTGCGAGGTTCGAAAGAGGGGGCGCAGCGACTGGTGAAATAGCACGTCCGATCAAAGGCGGAGGGATGGATCGAGCCGGAGCCGAGGAGAGTTGAGAGGCCTGTGGATGGGAAGTTCGAGGCATCGAATGAGCAGTAGGGGATGAGGGCTCGTCGTCCTCCACCCTTGGGGGGTTTCGAAGCTTGACTCTGATTTTTTGTGTGGGTCGATCTTCTTCGTCCTCAGATCTAGCGGAATCCTGGTTAGGTCTCTTGTTCGATGGGTCCGGGCTCTCCTCAACAGGCATCGTATTGAAGCCCAAGGGGCGGAAGGGTGGTGCCTCAGAGCTTCGTCGCCATCCCATTACACGTTCAAGATATTGGTCGGCCCTTATGTCATCCTGCGTGATTCTTGACCCCGCTTTCCTAGCCAAAGGTATCTCCACACCGAAATTTTGCAGTGGACTGGGATCGAGAGGATTGACATCTATGAAGAAACACTTGTCAGTTCGAACACGCATCTCCAAGCAGACGCAATGGAGCAAGCATCACCTACCTTGTGTCCTTGTTGACCAATCATCAACCCTAGCTTCGTCTTCCGGATCCAACAGGGAGATTTCGTCAGGGAGATCAGTGCTTGATGCTTTAGTCTTGGTGTCGAATCTCGAATCAGGAAAGAGGGCTCCATTTCGCAGCCAGTGGAATTGGAAAGTTTCCACTCCATTGACGTCACAAGGTATCTTCGAAACCCTGCACCACTCGCACTTGACGGATTTCGTGCCACTAGTTACACAGGTACGACCAGTATTGGCGCATCTTGAACAAGGATTGGCAAACTCGTACACCTTCGAGTACTTGTGTTTCCCGATTAAAGCCTCGTCCGGCTCGGTCTCGCAACAAACCGATCGAGGGGATTTAGATTTGATTTCTATAATAGTACCCGGGATGTGAGATTCCTCGTCTGGAGTAAGGGATTTTGAATGTTCCATCTAAGTGAAAAGTGAGAGAGTCGGACTAGGGATTTAGGAAGGAACGAAACGAAAAAAGTATGATGAATGTTGAAGTTCGAAGTTCGAACAAGGGATTTGGGAACGAAAAAGATGCGAGGAAGTACTCTTCGATTTGGAAGAGGATGTTTGGAAAGAAAAATCGAGAGAGGGGATTATGAATTGGATTGGATTGAGGAATTGGTGAGGGGAACAAAGACGACGAAGACACGGCTAGTTTATACGTGTGGCAAAGGTGTCGACAGTCGAAAGCTAAGCTTTAACACATAAGCATTTTGAACCTTGCTCATCCTAAATTAAATATGTATTCTACGAAATTCCAAAGTCGACTCTGCGCATCCTCCCTGAGTAATCGAAAATATGCAATAGTAAGCTTTCAAATGACTCAGTGCGTATTCACGCTCAGCGTTCTACAGGGTTTTTTTGATGTCTACGTCAAGCTACACGTGTCAGAGTTAGCAAACGCGTGATTGGTTCAAGACCAAAAGGATGACCATGGAACACACATGACAAACCTTTGTTATAGTACAGAGGCGTCAATAACAAGGGCAACTATACGCACTTCGCAATGTTGGTCGTAAAATGTTAGAGATGTGACTACTTCTGATGCATGGAAGCCAGACTGTTCTAATTTGAACTTGTACCTTTGCAAGTAAAGATGTAGTATGTTATAAAATTTAACAGAGATATCTTGGATTGCATAATTCATCCATCTACGCTTGAGACCTCCCTCATTTCACAAGAAAAGTCATTGTATAAAGAATCCACATTATCCTGTGGTCCTCCCTGCAATCATGTCAAGCAAAAACGCGTGACACGAGAGAGTTCACACTGTATGAAGGTATGTTATGTTTACTGTGTTTCCGGTTTGAAGGGGAGTTTTATTCTTCACCAGCATTATTCACCTGCTGCATACGCTAGTACCTTTCGACTATCATTGTCTTGTCCATAATTTATGATGAGTTCCCGTCGAAACCTGATCTTCATCCCACTTCAAATCTACGATGTCTACAATACTTGAGGATCTGTCTGAGTGTTTGATACAAGGCACTTATGAGCTGTCACAAGTTGGGGCAGGGTTTCTAACCAATCATTACAGGAGCCTTTGAACTTTTACATAGCTATAGCTTCATCATTTTTGGTTGTATGTACAAACAAATCGAGTATACCTTAGATGACTCCTGAAGATGTAAAACACATTTTGACTAATAGTAACAAGCCCTTACAATTTTTTTATGCCTCGTCGCCTTTCTCGTCAGGGTTTCTTTTTGATTTTAATGTTTTTCTTATCTCATCGCGGCTTTAGAATTTCTGTATAATGGAGGCACAGGCGCGGTTACTCAATATTGGACGTGCATTTTCCCGGTTTTCCCGGCTACGTCCGGATGTTTGCTGCTTACATGGTTTGAAGTTGGTCTTTACCCTTTACCTTTTGCATACTACCTTTGCTAAACGGGCCTCCTATCACCTACTTTGCTTTTATTACTAATGTGTTATCCCTGTGAGGTTATGACTTCTTCTTGAAGCTCTCGGAAAACTCTTGATCCACGTTCCACCATGGATGAGGCAAATTTTACTCGGCGTATCATCTGGAGTTGAAGACTTTGCACTCTGGTATGGAGTCTAAGTCGATTACAGATGATTCGACAATTTTGTTTACTTTACGTACCGAATTGAAGGCCCTTATTGATGAAGTGAATGCTGCTTGCGAAGTTGAGATCGGCAAGACTGACACAGTCCAGAACCTGCTCCATTGCCTGATCTGTCTCAATCCGGCTTGATCTGGTCACTAAGGACTGTTGAATGTTTTCATCAATGCGGCTCGAGATTATCTCTCTGTCATCAGTTTGCCTAGAGATTATCTTCAACAGTTTGCCTATTGCACGAGTCTCTTCAGAATCGGCGTTTTGCTCATCTCTTGGCCCGAATGATCTTCCCGCCCATGAAGAGCTTCAAATTCACTTGATGCTCTAGCTTGAGATATCTCGATTCGTATTATTTCGATCGATATTTTAAAACTCCTGAAGCTCTGAGTAGGATGATCATACCCAGAACCTTACATCCTGCGGTGTCTAGTATTACCTTTGAAGTAGGATCATCCTAGTTCAAACATTCGAACTTACATGTCTAATACGTAAGTTCGAAGTAAGATCATCCTAGATCCAAATTGTAGTGTCTACCAGACAATTTCAAAGCAGAATGATCCTACTTCGAATCTGCGTTGTCTATGAGAGTCAAGCATCGGAGCGTAAGCACTCATGAGGTGTTGCAAGTAGGAACAGGGTGTCTTACCTAGCAAAACTTGAGGCTTTGAACCTTTACGTAGTTCTTCATTGCTTGCATATATAAACGAATCAAGCATCACTTTCAGATGTCTTGTAAAGATAATAAAATACATTTCAACTAACAAAAGATCAGAAAAGAAAGTCTATCAAGTGGCCCATAGATTATGAAGATCAGGAAGTTTGCTCGCAATTAAACTTGCTCAAATTTATAATCAGTGTGGTTGGCTGCTTAATTCCGAAGCATCCTTCTGGGGTATCCCAAGCTGCCCCTTGAGCAACAAGCTCATCTACCCGCACCAGATCCTTTTTTTTTGCGGAGGTGTACACAACAGTCATTCTCGCATTTGGCCAATTATCAAGACCATGCTTGGCTTTCTCAGCAGTTCTCAAATCGGAGAATCGGAGGACTTCGAACCATAGCTGCGCCTTTAGATTGCCTTGCGACCCCGGATTCGTGATAAATATCTCATTGATTCGGCCCCACCGATATGCCATTGGGCGGCGCCCATCTTTAGACTGATACATAACAATACTGTTCCCCTGGTGATGCTCCCAAGTTGAGTAGGATATGTCGCCATGCTTTACCATTTTTCTTTGGTTCACCATCCGTCCTAGCAATATGAGATGGGGTGGAGGAAGCGGTGTTCTAAAAATCCGGCTAGCCACAACAACATCCCCGCATCCCAACTCTTTCATACGGCGTGCCAGGTTCTCATGGGTGTCGTAATCCAGGGTCTCGGCTTTTTTTTCGTCGTAGTGATAGACAGGCTCCGCATGTTCAGGGATGCCTGTTCGAGCGTCGTATCCGGAGGTACTGCCTCGTGGTGTACCACTGGGCTCCAAGAACTTCAAAATCCTCGTAGCAATGTCTCTTGGAAGAGATTCACATAAGATTGTGACAACTGGGCGCAGGTTTTGCTCCAAGGTAAACTTCCTGAGTCTTGTCAATTCACGGGAATCTGCCATACTTTTGTCAGTGCAGACACAATCTTTTATTTAGTCGATATTATGAACTTACTAGGATGATTATTATTCGGTATTTTAGCCAATTTACCATTAAGTCTCTCAAACGACCATGCACTCCAGAAAGGCGCGGGCCCAAACCGTTGGATACATTCAGGAAGATGAAGCGCCATGTGATGATTAGGCAGGACGGGAAGTGAACTATAAAGTTTGGAATACCCATTTCGATAGCTTCGCAGATGGTATTGGAGGGATCCAATGTCGCGCTCATTCAGTTCCAATCTCCTAACAATGTTCAATACACTTATAAGATGGAGCACATTGCGGACAAAGTTGTGTTCCGTGAAGTCTGTAGCACCCTGGTCTTTGTCCAAGACAGAAATTATCGCAGGAATCATCATGACCTGGAAGAGAATGACCCATTCATCTGCCTTCAATTTCCCGCCCTTCCGTGTCCCTACAGTGCTAGGCACGCGTCCAACCCAGGAAGGAAGGTGTATATTTCTTGTGATATCTTGCAATGTAGCTAGGTTCTGAGGATCATCAAAAAATTTCCAACCGAGTTCATCTTCATAAGCATCTTCCAAGTCAGAGAGATCTTCATCAAATGCGTCGTCTTCTAAAAAGCTTTCTGTCTGCTCTTGCGTTGATTGATAATCCTGGGGCGCTGTCGCAGAGCAAGTATCACTTTCTAAGTTCATCTCTTCAAATGCAAACAACGATTTGTCATTGCTCTCTGCTGATAGATACCCTGGAGTTGGAGGGGGAGATGATGATCGTAGTTCCGTATCTGGGTTTTCTGATGGTGCGTCAACAGAGCAATCCTTCCTATACACATCTGGTGCTACAGTCTCCGTCTCCGAGTCTTCAACATCGCTAGCATCCCCGTTCCTTGGATCTTCAGCAGATTGTGGGTCGGACTTCATTCCAAAAGCCCTCGTGCCGTGGTTCTTGATGATACCAAGAAAGATGTTGTGCATCGGTTCTACAATTGTGTGGCTAAGAGGATCAAAATACGGAAGCTCCCATAGGACGGAGTACCGCACGCCATATTCTGCAAAGATTTCCTTCCGGTGTGTTTTTGTTTTTGCATCTCTCCACGCCAAAGCCTGTTTGCGAAGTGTATGCGTGCATCGTCTTCGTTCTTTAGGAATTCGTAATAGATGTATGTCGTCTGTTCCGAGCAGACACAGTGAGCAAACATGTCGATTTGATGAATGGCCTGCCATTCCCAAAACCTTTCGTATTGCGGGAAGGTCACAGATAATGGGACCTAGCATAGCACGGATTACTCTACCATGCGTGGGATACTTGGCAGTAGAAGAAAACTTGACCCCCTTCCATAGGACCTTGAGTTCTTGGACTAAGGGTGCCAGAACATGGTTCATTTGCTCTACGTCCGGTTCGGAAGGACCAGGGGTCAGCCCTACTAAAAATATGTTCTCTTGAGATGAACGAATCTCTGGTGGCAGATTCAAACAAACTAAAGCAATAGTTCCAAGAGAAATTTGTTTTGATGCAGCCTTGTTTCCATTTGCATTGAACCAATCCACATTCAAAGCAAACACCAGATTTCCGGAGGAGGACGTAAACCGCTGTCCATCTTCCCCACGAAGCGAGTGCCACATTGAAGCGTCCCGCACATCCTTCATGATCGGACCTTGCGTTTCGAAATAGTCGTCTCTCCATTCCAACAAATCCTCGATCCCAGGTCGATTCAAAAAACGAGCTAACCAATCAGTAAAGGATACAGTCGAAAACAGCCGGCATGCTTTTGGGGTTGTCCCATCATGAATACCTGCTTCGTGTAAAAGCTGCTCTGAACATACACGGCTCCTGGGAGTAACTTGAGACGTGCAAAATGTAGGAATCTTATCACCATAGTACATCCTGAAGCATTTGGGGCAGCACACTGTTCTGCGAATCTTTGGCTCAATCCTTAGTCCATCAAGAAATGTACTCATAGCCTTTGGTAAAATGGCCGGCGAAGACTTTTTATCGGTGTTGAAGGTGGAGACTGCACCTATGACATGCAAGCAAAGCGTGGCAGCTTCCACACTGATGTTTTTGATAAGGTGTAAACATGTGATCATAAGGAAGTAAGCCAGGTCAGAAGACTTCCAACGGCGAAACGTGTCGTAGTGTGTTGTACTATATATGCCTGCTTGTCAAAAATTTCAAAACTTCAACAAAAATTCACATAAAGATAGAATGCTATTGGAGACAAGAAGAACCCACTTGAATCTATGATTGGCCCATCCCATAACGGTTGGAAGTGGCTTTCTGTGGCTTTACGATTGAAAGGTGTTGTTTCTAAGTTCAAAGAAGCACGAGGCAAACTTGCCATGGAGGCATTTTGGGCATCGTGTGATGGCAATCATGTATCTATCAACTGATTGCTCTCAGACTCTCAAGTATTATTAAAACTTAACCAGAGAGAATGTCTACCTACCCTAAAAATCCGAGGATAAAGAGGTTTTGTGTGCTGTGCATGTTGCGCGTGCTCCGAAGCTCTTGACATGTTTTTTGTGATTTGCAGGTCTCCAGAGCGTTCCATATACTTTAGCATTGGTCTGGGGATGTTGGTAGGTGTTTTTTTCACAGTCGGTACAGTGACAAGGTATCAGAGCCAACGTTTTCATACTTCAATCAAGGCTTTGCTTTCTTCGGTGATTGGCCTGGATGAATTAATAAATGGTATCAAAGTGAGATGAAGCGAGAAACTGTTGAATGTGAAGATGATCGCGTGACTATTCACGCGAATTTTGTATAAGATAGGTTTCAAGTACTTGAAACCTATCTTATACAAAATGAGACGCGCATGTGGACTATTCATCCTCAGATCTGAGGATGCATACATGCTGAACATCAAAGGATATGGGATCTCAGCAGTATTCGAGCTGGCGCTCCAATGCCAGTAGATAAAGGCGCCCTCATGAGTATAAGTTTAGCGCTCATTGGAACATGCTGAGTGATGCGAAAAACTCTCCATAACACCGAAGCTAAGAACTCAAACTCCCAAGAGTGGCTACGTGCTGAGTCTCCAAGGGCAAGTTCGAACCAAGTTCGAACTTTGAAGTCGAGTTCAAACTTCGAAGCTCATTGTGATGAGGTCTTTTGAGGCTCGAAGCCCAGACCTCTCATATTCGAACTTGAGATTTGACGTTCGAAGAGCTCAAAACTTGGTGCTTGTACAGAAAAGCCCTTGCTGTTTTTTTGAGTCGAAGAAATAAGCAAGACAGAAAAAAAAACTAGACAACAAAAAAATGAATTGCAATATCAAGATTATGGATTATTTTTTGGCAAGTTTTGGGGTGGATTCGAGACCAAATAGGTCCTACGCAAATTGCATCGTCTGCGTTTGGATTGTGTCGCGAAGATGGCACCGAAGTTGCCTCGCAAGTGAGATTGAATTGGGCATTTAGGGGATTGAATCACGAGTTAAACACCGACATGAACTCGCAAGAATGATTGAATCGGGACAAAAGGCCCGATGTTCAGTTGCTCAGAGGGGATGCGATGCAATGATTTTATCGCACATTTGTTTGAGTCGGATGAGCACTATACGAGTAGCTATCGGACCTCATCAGGCTGAGGTTCAGTCGCTCGTCACCAATGCAGTTTGGGATCGGAACTTAGTTTCATCGGATCTGGCAAACCATTCCTCAGTCGGACTGAGGATCCCATCAAACAACCTGGATCTGATTAGACATCGCACATCGATTCTATCGGACCCCTTGGCCCCGACTCTGCTTCGGAACACCGTCCCCGATGTGACATCGGAAAGGGCATTCCGACGTGAATTTCTTGGCGGTGATGTGCGTTATCAGATGATGAACTAATCATGAGCCGTAATTGGAAATGACACTCACTTTGACTTGAGGCAGGGATTCAGACTTATAAAAGGTCTTCCTTGCAACAATTACCCCACAAGGAGCAACCATGAGTTGCTCATTGTGGGTGCGAGCTCGAGATAGTAAGATTTTTTTACCGTCAAGTTTTTCTCCACCATCTCTTCCTGCTTCATGCTTGCGGTCGTCAACATCGGCGTACATCAAGTCTTCTTCTGTCAAATTGACCTCGCCGGTTTCAGGCGACACCAAATCACTCGGATCAGATCTAATGTGCGTGTTGGGTCTGTTGAATCGTTTTGGTAAGCCCAATAAAGATTTGGTTTTGTCTTTAAACTCGCGGTATGCTGATTTGTGTTTGGGATCTGAGCATGTTTTTTGACCCTTTTCGACTGGTCTGATGCACGGCTGAGCTTGGCATATGTTATGCAATTGTGTATAGTGTTCTTGGCAATACCTGTGTGTAACCTTGTCGAGGTGATTCTCGCAATGAGTGGCCGTCGAAGAGGGATCCAGTGATCTTAATTGCGCTACGGATGCACTGCATCTCCAATGCCCAACCGTGATTCCATCCGTAACCATAGCCCGCATGACTATCAGATACACATCTTTAGATGGAGAAAATGATTGATCAACATATTTTATTACTTACTTGTAGAGTTCTCATGATTGACTTCAGTACAGATGGAGCAAACGTGAGACGAGTACTCTGTTCCCTCATGTTTCATCCATTCACCATGCTGTTGCATGGCGGTGAAATATTGCCGGTCATCGGTGCCGGTGGCATCACTCTTGAGCCTCACTCCACGCTGTTTGGTTATTCTCAACAGTCTGTGTAAGTCGAGGGCTAATGAGCACAAATTGTGACTCATTTTTCGCATGTATCGCGGATTTTGGAAATCGTTGGAGTACGTAGATGTTGGTGTGGCATGTGTTCGGTTGTATGATAATACCACATTTGAGACGGAGACTCTTTTTTGATCATCAGCACAACAATCAATCACAGTTTGGACAATGAACATCAATGATTGATGTTAACTTACATTCCAAGGCTTTGGAGGTGATTGTAATGGTCTGCCAAGCAGTGAGTCATAAAGTAATGTTGCGTAACCTGGAAAACATCTTCTGGCTGCCCTTCTTCCCGTGTGTAGTATTCACAATGGTCGTGGTCTTTGCGCCGCATGAAACAAGGTGTATATGTTGTGTTACAAGCTTCACACTAGTGTTAGGTCATTCAACGTGTTGAAACGTGGTACAAATTAGAATTGCACTCACGACAACAATAGCGAGGGAAATATTGCATCGTCTCAATTCCAGAGATGTCAAATAGGTATCCCTTCACCTTTCTTCTCCTCATTGTTTTAGCGCCACAGTCGAGACACGTCTGTGTTGGTGGATGAAATGTATGTTGCGTGATAACAAGCGCTTTATTGGAACGATTGCCTAAAGGTATACCAAGTTCGCAGAACTGGTCACCTGAGTTAAAATCGCACAGCGGAATATGATGGTACGTCAAGGTCCACAGTTTAGCCCAGGTTGACTGTGGTTGCGCGGAATCGAGGCTCTCTCCAAGGAATTCTATTGGGCATGATATAGGTGAGGTGCGTAAGGAACCTTTGGTCCGTTCCAGAAAATCAGCCGACAGCGTTGCAAAGCTGGTGAGCTGCGCTAAAGTTATAGTTTCCCATATTTCAGGATATGTTGTGGACACCTTTTTTGCGAGGTCCTTCAATAACATTATTCTAGAATACGATGTTCTCAATCATATGATAAGATAGATGATGATGCACTGCGTTGACAATTTTAGAACGATATAAGGATGAGCTGGATGGGAAGCTATTGTTATTTTTAGGGCGGGATATTGGTCTTGACAGCGTGGAAATGTCATTTTACTTCGGTACACTGTCAAACAAATTTGATTCACTGTCAAACAAATTGGAACATGCAAGAGTCTGCGGCTTCTTCTTCTGGAGGGACGCATTGGTTCATCCGTCCGGGCCGCGGGCGGGATTTGGGTTGCACAACAGGGCGAATGTTCACAAACCCCAAACCTCAAACCCGGTACAGACTGTACAGCCTGTACAGCTTTTTCAATACAAAGCCCAAGATCCATCAACTAGATCAACTCC